CACGTGATAGTTACATATTGTTAGAATAGTTAGAGATAGATATTGTTTAAATCTCTCTCTCTCTCTATCTCTTCTCCCTATCCCATGTAAATCTCTTCTCTGGTTGTACCTTGGCGTACACTTCTGTAACCATACGAGGACTCCCTCGCCAGATCAATAAAACCCCAACGCGGCTCCCTTCGTGGAGTAGAAACGCTTAACCATTGCTGACAAGATAGTCCCATCAGTGAAGAGCAAGCAGATCAACTATCACGATTTTAAATCGTGGGCGAAACAGACAGCGCTATCGCTGATTAAAATCTGCCGCACGATTTGCATGGTTCAGAAAATCGCGGGAGATCGCGCCGAAGCAATCTGCCGTGATTGTCTGAACCATGCAAATCGTGTGGGCGATTCTAATCTTTGTCGCCTGCTGAGTTATCTTCACTCTGCCCTATCGATTCACAGGGGTTTCCTCATTTTCTTGCGGTAATGAAATTGTATTGATGCAAGATTCCATTTCTTTTTACAATTACGACAGCTTTCTGTAGAAGGAATGCTTCATCAGCATTTAACTTGTTTTTCTTCTCTCTCTGAAAAAGCAGTCGACTTCTTTCTAATACTCTATTTTAGATAGAAGAAAGGGACTGGCAATTGCAGAATATTTGCAATTTTATTGGTGTTGTCACGGATAAACTGGTGCGTAGATATGCATTTAAGCCACGGACCAGCAATATATAGTCACTTATATACACATAAAATACATAATGGCAGTTTGTACATACAGCAATATATACCAGCTTGCTGCTCTCCTGCACTAACCTCAATATATAATTGATAGTTGGAATCAAGTCAAAGCCAATTCCAATTCCTGTTTGGACGTGGAGTGTTTGTCAAGTAAATCTGTACATATTCGTGAATTCATTGTAATCACAACCCAGTTATGAGCTTTCCTACTAACCTAGCTGTTCAGAGAGGTTGATGACTCATTTTCATGCTATTCATACATAACATTAGTTATAAATCTTGTACCCCCATTTTATTTTGCAAAACACTGCCAGCCTGCCTGATAAGGGTTTTCTCCATTCTTATTTTACAAGTTTCTTTTTCACGCTATAGCTATTCAAGAAATTTAGCCGGCGTACTAAGTTGTGTTTCAGGCAGCTGTGTGTTGTATGATCTTTGATGTCTCACATGATAAGAGTAAACAAGGAAAAGAAATGGAACATGATGATTGAAGCAACTGCAAAGCCACAGTCTTAATATAGGGATCGTATCCCCCTGGCGCTTTCATCACATGGTGGCATTCTTTATTCTTTCCTTGACTTCTGGTTAGAGATGATACTCTTCCTCGCGTCATCGGACAATGTGAAGGGCCACATTGAAGCCCTGAGGCACGGTGGCTACTGTCGAGCTCATCACCCTCCTGTGGGTGCTGCTTCTGCACGCTGGCATCTTCATCCTTGATGAATTTATTTGTCCTCGTCATCATCGATCCCACCATCATATTTTGTGAGAGCTTGCTTCACATGTGTGTTTTCATGTGTGCTGGCATGATGAGCCATCAAGAACGGAGTTGTGCATTTTTTTTTCAAAAAGAAGGATAACAGCAGGTCTCCGCATCAAGCGATGAACACAACCATTTTATTATATTATTCAGCAGAACCCCAATAAAATAAATACATGGATCAATCCAAAGCCATCGTCATGGCAAGCATAGTCACTGCACCTACAAACTTGATGATGTGCCCTGACCTCGCATGAACACATATCATCTAATCTGGTGGTCTCACCAAGCCCCGCCGGCAAGCCGCGAACACCAATCAGTCGAGCGTATACCCTACTCGCATTGCATGCACACGCTCTACAATCGTTGCAGCCATCTTCCGCCATCCCACTTTCAGGAGCGATCAACACATTCACCTTCAGGAGCGAGTGTGCATGATTTCCTACAACAGATTGAGCAAATTACTATGAGCTAATCCTAATTGCATATTAGCTGTATTTGGTCACTACATCAATCTATCCATGTGTTGATTTTATTTGGCAGCATCCTCTAATTTCTGTTTTCATAATTTTTGTTGTACACGTTACACCCATGTTGGTTCATGTATTCAGATGGATTACAAGCTTTGAGAAAGATAGAGAAATAAATAAAGAGCACCATGCGTGTTCATGTTGCTTACATGCATGTTCTTCCTGTGTAATGTTGTGGTGTGTGATTCGTATGATGTGGGCTGCTTATTGTAACAATAATCAAACTATCACTCACACTTCTGGATAAGGTCCCTTGTGCGGCATATGAATCCATTTCATGATTTAGGTCCCTTATCAGGCACATGCTTGCAGTTTTATGTTCCTGTAAATTTTCCATGATCATTAAAACTAGCTATATGTGCACAGACACAGAGTTTTGCTCATTGCAAACTCGTTCGTTTTTAAAGTAGTAACACAAATAGCAAAAAAAGATTCTACGCAATCTATCTTTATTTATGAAACATTCATCCGGCCACCTGCCTCCCACACTACACATTATGTACATATATTAGCGTATCTTTTCTATCAACATTGAAATCTTGGGCATTTAATTCTTAATGAGAAAAAGAATCTTAATAGGATAGTTTGTGTTGAGTAGCCCCATTCGATATTATTCAATCTATCTATTTATCTTTATTTATTTATGAAAGATCCATCTGACTACCTGCCTCCCTTACTGCGCATTATAAGAGAGATGATACATACCCTTAGCTTTGTAGATGCCATATATACCTCCTCTTCCCGTGCCATAAGTCAAGTGTTCCGCTCACATACAACTCTCATCCCGGAGGCGAATGCGACAAAGCAGATCCTGGTGTGGAAGGAGCAGATCCTGGTGCACCTTCAGTGTGGTTGCAGTCTTGCAGAATGAAATCAATCCTCCCCTCTTGCGTTTGTGCGTTTTACACTGTGAAAATCTGAAAGTAATTGGTTTTGCTAAAGACGGTCCAAAGGAGTTGAACATTGCTGGTGGTATGCACGTCCTTTTTTCTGTGAGGAAGTACCGCTGTACTGCTAATTAAACAGTACAGAACGACAGTTACTTTTAACATTGCCAAATACTCCCATCAGCGTAGAGCAAACAGATCAACTGCCACGATTTTGAACCGCAGGCAAAACAGCCGCGCTATCTCTGAATAAAATCTGCCTCGCAATTAGCACGGTTCATGAAATCGCGGGAGATCGCGCCGTTCCTTGCTTAGCCATCACGAAAATGTTTCCTGACACTATTTTAATCGTTGTCGACTGCTGAGTTATCTGCACTCTGCCCTAATGAAATGCAATTTGTCCAATCATTATTAAGAGTTCCTAATCATCTGCCCATTCTCAACGCGGCAGGCCGCCTGCTCAAGCGCAGCCGAGAAGAAGGTGCCCCATTGATCCTCCAGTCCTGCCGGCATCACCTCCAGGCCTGGTCGCTACGTCCCTTATCCTTGACGGTTAATGTATCCACCCTAATCACCATACATTAGCCACCACCTTACATGTGAGCTTGCTTTTACATTGTGCACTGGTTTTGCATTCTGTGTTGCGCTTGTTTACATGTATGCTGGCATGATAAGCCGAAAAGAATTGGTGAGTGTGTATGTATTGTTTTCCAACAAAACATGTTGCAAGTCTACTTACATGCATACTAGCTATTGCTCTGGATTCGATTATGCTTCATAAGAAAGAAAGCACATGAGAAACAAGCACTTTACTTGCCTAGAATCGTCCGTAAGAAGCTATATCAAGCATTGGATTTGTTCAATCAGTTTGGCTAGCAAGCCAGCAACAAATCATGTATGTGAGTCATGCAATCTCAATTATTGACCAATTCAGATTTTTTTCCCTCAAGACATTTACCTACTTTGAATAATTTATTAATAAAATGGATGTGTGCATCATGATAATGCACAGCCCAAGGTTATCCCTTTTTCAAACAAAAAAAAGATAGCTTATATTAGCACAAAGAGCTTCCATCTTTCTTCCCTATAAGTGTCTTACATTAGTTTTCTGCTATGGCGTCCTACTAAAATGTATCAAAAATGCATGAGCACAAAAATTATCTCTGTATAAAGGAGGCAAAAGGAAGATACTAGAACTATTTCCTCTGTCACTACATTTACTAAGCTCCCTAGAAATAGGGAGCCCAGAACATCCCTCGTACTTATCGCAATCAGCAAGTTTCTATAGATCTCGGTTCCTCTTGTTTTCGACCACAAGTCTTTTACTCAGGTCTCTCACTTTTATCGTGTGTGAAGCCTCTATAATTCGTGGAGTTAATTTCTTCCTTCCTTTCTCTAGGATAAATTCATTCATTCCTCTAAGATAAATTTTATTGAGACCCACACTACATCCTCTTTTATTGGCTTGCTGATTCCCAGGCAACTCGTGGAAGTATACTCTAGCTTTGTTTCCCCATCCTTGTCTATCCAGACTCTGTTTTCACCAAGTAAACCTTTTAGGTACACTTTGATTCAAAGGGGTTCCTCATTACCCTGCGGTAATGAAATTGTTTTTATTTTACAATTATGATGGCTTTCCCTAGAAGGAATGCTTCATCAGCATATAACTTGTTTTTTCTTCTCTCTCTGAAAAAGCAGTCGACTGCTAATAAGGAGGGACTGGCAATTGCAGGATATTTGCAATTTTATTGGTGTTGTCTTGGACAAACTGGTTTGTGGATGTGCATTTAGGCCAGGGACCAGCAATACAGTCACTTATACACATATATACATAATGGCAGTTTCTAGATACAGCAATATATACCAGCTTGCTGCTCTCCGGCACCAACCTCAGTAATTTACAGTGGCTTTAATAGCATCCAATATCTGAAACAATTAACCAACACGTCAGGGTCAGAGCTGTATGTATACCAATGCAGCCGAAGACCAAATGATCACTCATCCCACTAATTACCTTGTTCTTTGTGGGCATGTAGAATGGTTCATAAACAAGAGGGAAAGGGGTGTCGAGGCCGCAGATCCTCGCGACAGGCGCTTCTAACTGCAACACATATATTTGAGCGATTTTGACCACGTCAGCTTCGGGATGATTATCTAAGTGACTGTTGCTCTTATGTGTTAAGGTTTTTCTTTGTTCTATTAAACAGCTTAAAGATTTAGTACCATACCCTCTGGAAGCAGCGCTCAGCAATGGATGCAGCGATTTCCGCACCAAACCCTCCGGTGATCGGGGCCTCATGACTAATCTGTGATGCGATAGTACTTCATTCACTGATAATGGAGCATTCTAGGTTAAAAAAATGGCAATGGAGCAAAGAATAAGCCCGAAGAGGCAACATACAAGAAGCTTTCCAGTCTTGCTGACAGAGGCCTCGACTGTTTCCTTGTCCCATGGAATTAGTGTTCTTAGATCTATGAGCTCGCAAGAAATTCCATCCTGGAATCAATGTACTGATAGTCAGGCACGGTTTATGGAACACTACCGCAAGGTAATAAAGACATGAAGATGAATCAAGATGGTAACATCCAAGAAGCAACACAAATATCATTTGCAATGATTTTCCATTAAAATGGTGTGGATAACCAAAACAACCTTGGTATCATCACTATGCCATGACAGCCGTCTGTAGTCACAATTGGGGCTCTATGCTGATCGGTGTTACCAATCCTTAAAAGCGAAATGCAACCAGTCTTCCTAGACCTAGATTAGCATGCACATTCTGAAATGCAGAAGTGTTTGAGTGCTTTACCAACTGCCTGCTGATCATATATTACCAAGATCAAGTGGCTCCAACCTTTAATTGCCGTTGTTAATTCAGGCAAATGAAATCAGAATGGTTAGTCAATTATATTTCACCGGCAATATACGAATATGTTAGTTTTTTTCTATAGTTTTGGGCATGGAAGCATTAACTGAATTTTGCATTTAAGAACTAGCATGAATAACTGACCTTTGAAGCATCTTCACATGCTTGTTCCAGCACTGCAAGTTGAGCTCCCCAACCAATAAGTGTTATATCACTTCCTTTGCGGATCACCTAAAGTATATAAGTTGCATAAATATTTTTGGGTTCCCTCATCACCAAAACAATATGCAGGATGGAGATATACGCACTTCTGCCTGGGATAAAGGCAGCATATAGTCCCCCTCAGGAACTTCTTCAACAGACAAACGGTACAACCACTGTAAAGAAGAGAAGGAAAGCTGCTTGTAAGAGCATTCCACAATAATCAATTCAATATTGTACATCAGCTGTTCTCTTGCACTTATTCTACAACATGGATATATACGAGTCTTAACCAACTGAGAAACTTCTTTCAAATTTTTGCTCTACCTTTGGCTCGAAAAAGATGACTGGGTTTGGGTCACGAATGCTAGCCAGCAACAGTCCCTTGGCCTCACGTGGACTCCGAGGTATGACAACCTGAAATTGCATTTTTGTTAGTACTAAGGAAACCACAACAGAAATTTCTATATACAAATTCAGAAATGTCGTAGAGCATCAAGCAGGTGTACCGGAAAATGTTGCTTGATATGGTAATACTACCTGATTTTTACAAATAAATTTCTTAGTCAACTAGGCAATGTGGTTTCCACTTGTATATTGACTATTTACTGTAAATGATTACAATTATTGGACACGGAGCTTTAGATTTACAGACTGACCTTCAGGCCAGGAACATGGCAGAAGAAAGCCTCTGGTGACTGTGAATGGTAGTGACCACCATGTCCAACAGCACCATATGGAGATCGAATTGTTAAACCTACAAAATAAGGGATGGCAACTTCAGGATGTTTCAACATTAAATAACATGAAAATAAGCATCGGACATGGAACGATCCATTTCAAAAGGGGAAAATGGTTTTTTTAGGCGAAAAAAATAGTTACCTCCACAGTTAAATTCATTTCCACTTCGGTATCTGAATTTAGCTGCTTCATTGACGATCTGCATCAGAAGTCATATGAACAGGTTGGAACAAGACATTGATAAAACCTATATAAATTCAGTCAACTTGGCAATGGTCAAGGACTAAAATGGTTTTACAACCGAATGCAACAGTATCACTGCAGAGTCCAGAGTTCATATAAATTCAGTCAACTTGGCAATGGTCAAGAACTAAAATGGTTTTACAACTAAATGCAACAGTATCACTGCAGAGTCCAGAGTTCAAGATAAAGCATTGCAAATGCTTGCACCAGAAAGATTTTACTAAGAAAGAGAAGTTCCAATAATCTCTGGCAACAAGTAGGTAAGGTACTTCCTGCGACTGAGATACTCAGTAATATAATGCAGTCCATATAGCAACTATTTAAAAGTGTCTGCTGTCCATAATGGAAGAGCTCGAGTAGGTAAAATAATTCTGAATGGAATCAGAGACATGCCTGATCAAATGCTGGAAAGATATAATCTGCAAACTGGATTTCGGCGATGGCTCTATTGCCCTGCATTTTGAAGATAGGCAAATAATATGAGGCTTCCATTGCCAAGATGATAGGAGTGAATAGTGATTTACTGACTTACAAAAAGTTACTAAGTGATGCAAAGATTGTAAGGTTTCTTTTCTCCGACAAAGGGTGGATTGCAAGATTTCTTTTTGATGTAAAAATATTTGATTGAAATTAATGATGCATGATAAATCACAATAACTTGTCCAGTCTCCTAGTCAAAGGCTCCACAAATTCAAGTGGCATCAATCATGATTACTACTCCCTCCGTCCCATAATATAAGAGCATTTTTTTACACTAGTGTAGTGTCAAACACACTCTTATATTATGGGACAGAGGGATTAGTAAGATGTATGTTTTGAAACTGTGGAAGTTGCAAAAAAACTATCATGAACAAATTACTATTGGTAAATCAAGGAACCTGAAAAGTATTGTCATGAAGAAACATTCAATTTTCTCTTTGACTCACCATTGCTGCTAAGCCAATAGCAAATCCGGCAATACCCTGTTTGAGAAGAACTGGTCACTGGTTAGGACAGAGCGTATAGCATGCACAAGCAAACCTAAGGCATACTAATGCACTCGAATGCATCAAAACACATCTGAATGTCACGAAAAAAAATCCGAAAACAAATCATGACATAATGATAATACACATCTATCATGAGACACAATTTCAACTCCAACTCTTGTCTGCAGTTTTATAAACAAAAAAAAAAGAAGATAAATCAGACCGTGAATAGTACAAAATCCAGATCTGATCTACAGTTTTTGGTTTCAGAGTTGTGTGCTGGTTTTGGATCTGAAAAAAGAATGTGATATGCATGTATACTTAATGCTGCTAATAGTTTTTTATTTTTTCCAGAACTTGTGTAATGCTGAATTAAGGACTGACTTAGTACACTGTACACCTAAGCCGTATAAACTTCAGTATAGTGGACTCAAATGTATATCTGTAGTCAAGCATAGCAGACTGCAAACACTGATTTTTTTTCACATTTTACTGCAGCTTTGCCATAAGCTTAATAAGCAGGTACGGCAAGTGAAGATGCACCTGTTCACACAATGGTGTATTGAATACTCTTTTTTTGCCAAATCGATCAGCTAGCCCTGTTGTGCAGCGAAAGACGCCACCAAAACCCACATCCTCTCCAAAAACATAAGAGCTGTCAAAATGAAACTCATCTTTAGTTCACTGGAATACGTGTATAACTAGCACAAATGGATCACGTGTGATCTGGTATGTTCAGATAAGCCATTGCTTTCTAATAGACTCGATAGCTTACAAAATAATACTATCGATTACACATTTTCCTAGAGTCAATAGACCAAAACAAATAGAAATCCTTCGTCCTAGCACAGTCATTTGTCAAAATTGTATTACTTTAAATTACATTATTATTAACTGTCTAAACAAAAATCATCCTCAATTGAGGGAGCAAACGAGCAAGAAGCCATATACATTACACTAACATGTATTTCCCTGCAATGTATAGTCGAACTGAATGCAGTAAATATGTACTAATTTGTATTTGTTTTTTCTTTAATTTTGTCAAGAGCTTGTATCCTACTGGGAACGCTAGTATACTGACATGGCGTACAGCAGAAATGTTGACAGCGGAACATGTTATTAGTTTATTACAGCAAAAGGAAATGTTAAATTATGAAATAATTTAGAACCAGCGAGGCATCACCGCGGGTCGGTGTCGAGCGCGATGTGGAGCGCCTGGTTAACGGCGGTGAAGAGGTTCACCGCCTTCCCCCCTCCCCCCTCTCCCCTCTCCGCCGCCCCCGCCGGAGCAGCAGCAGCGGCGGCGGCGCTGTCGGAGAAGCGTCTGCCGCCTCCAATCCCCGCCGCTCCGACCCTCCTCCTCCCCACCACCTCCCTCAAAGCTCTCGTGGCCATCGAAGCCTCACGAAGCGGAAGCGGGTTCTTCGCCGCCGCTCTCTCGTATGAGCACGGTTTGCCTGGTGACGGATTTTGCTGGGTGGTGGCGGACTGGAGCTCGTGGGAGAACCGGCCGGCTGGGGAAGGAAGGGGAGGAGGCCGGCAGCTGCTCGGCGCGCCGTCGCCGTCCGCGACCAGTGGTTCTCGCTGGGACTTGGGAAGTGGAGGAGGAATTGGTTGGGGATGAGCAGAGAGAGAGAGCTCAAGGGGGAGGGATGAGTGAGGTGGGAGAGATTCAGACGTTTTTCATTCATTCATTAAGCGATAGGCACGCACTCGACATGCCACGCAGGCCACACATGCACATGTTTGTGATTAATCAACACGTGTTAATCATGGCGGAATATTTTTCCTTATCTACCCAACAGCGTCCCAACCGGATAGACTTTGATACATCGCATCAGACCAAAACCCTAGCCGCCGCCGTCACCGCAGCAACAGCTTCCTTGCATGCCGACGCCTCGGCCCCCCTCCTCTCCACTGTCCGGCAGGGCCAGTGGTCGGTAAGAGGAGCGGAAACCCATCTATCTCGTTTTCTTTTTCTTAAGTTTTTGTTTCCCTGGCAACATCGGGCCAGTTCTTTTCAACGATTCTCCTAGAATCGCCCCCCTCCCCAGCTTCTCCCAGAATCACCACTCCATTTTTTTTACAATCCTATCTAGTTAAGATCTAATTAGTTAGGATTGTAAAAAACATATGGAGTGGTGATTCTGGGAGAAGCTGGGGAGTAGGGCGATTCTGGTAGAATCGCACAAAAGAACTGGGCCATCGACGAGGTAGTGACGGTGATGACATGTTGCTGGATCTCTTGATGCCTCGGCGACGTCCGGTTCGGCGTTGACAAAGTGCCTATGTGATTTTGTGTCTCAAGATATGTTGGTTCTTTTTATATCTTGGCGGCCGGCGTGTCTTTCAAGGGGAGTTATTGGTTTAACTATTGATGCGACGGTTTCGGCATTTTGTACCATGTTGTTCTGTGGCATGATTCGGTTTCATGAATTCACTGGACGGGCGATGATGGATTGCGTACCCGTACTAAGTTGGGTGACATGCTCCAACGATGATGCTTCAACGATTTTTGGATATCAGCTAAAAGGGCGGGTGTTGATTACGCATTACGGTTTTCAAAGTCTGGCAAGTGTCTTTTTCTTTTACTGTTTGTTCAGTACAATTTTCAATCTTCGACGGACGACATACAATCGAACAAACAAAAAGGCTAGTATGATTTCCACTGTAGTTTTACCTTTTTTACTAGTCGTTCTACATTCAGTTGTTTGTCCATTGTACTAGCTTTTGTTTCCCTTATATTAATCAAATGTAATATGCCCTCGGGGTGTCTTTTCTCAAAGAAAAAATAGTTGCTCCCTGCAACCATTGCACTGCGGTTTTCTCCCTCGAACCAGCCACGCAAACGTAACACAAGTTTCATTGTTGTTCATTGTCTCCCATTTTATTTTTTTCTCTCTCAGACGGCAGCTGCGCACAGGCTCCTGCAGCCATGGCGGTGGCGCATATGCCACTCAAATTCTACCAGTTGGAGTGCCCAGAACACCTCCCGGATGTATAGTCGAAAGTTTCGAAGTGAATTTCCGACGTGTCTAGATTCTGAGGTCAGTTCCCGAGCACACTCCGGCTGATACCAGTCACTGTCAAGTTAGAACATAGGCTGGAGGTGACACCAGATTCCAGGGTCGGTTCCGAGGTCTCTGGATGCCAAAGCTACTTGTAGGGTGATTTTTGGCTGATATCAAAGGCTCTGTTAGTCAGATGAAGCCTACGCCGATGTGGCACCGGATTCCGAAGCTCCTGGAAGTTGGTCACAAAACTTTCAAACAGTGTAAAGAAGCCTAAATGTGGATAAAATTGAAGTGACACATATATCTTCCAAAGAGGATATATGGTGGAAATAGAAAATATTTAGAATGGCTATCTTGGTGGCGGGGGATGTCTATAGGAATGTACCAAGATGAGTTCCATCGTAGATCCCACCATCATAGATCCCAGGAGAGACCCCTCTTAATAGTGCGACTTTTCTATGACTCAAATGAAACCAAAAAGCCTTCGAATCTTCGGAAAAATGATACATTTTACTTTTTGAATTAGGGTACCATCCATCTCCCTAACCACCGAACAACCAATGTACTAAGATAAACTTGATAAACGACATTAGTCCTCACTAAGCCCATTCTCATCAACACCAAGATATCATTGGGGAACAATGCACTTTCACCAGGCCACAATCAAAGTCGCTTAGGCCCTTATTCCTACCATTAAAGAGGGTCGTCTGTGTGCTAAGAAGTGCATCTACAGCAAGCTCCCTCCCTCCGTTGTTTTGGGGTTATAGAAAAAAA